CCCCAGTTCCTGGTCCCCAGTTCCTGGTCCCCAGTTCCTGGTCCCCAGTTCCTGGTCCCCAGTTCCTGGTCCCCAGTTCCTGGTCCCCAGTTCCTGGTCCCCAGTTCCTGGTCCCCAGTTCCTGGTCCCCAGTTCCTGGTCCCCAGTTCCTGGTCCCCAGTTCCTGGTCCCCAGTTCCTGGTCCCCAGTTCCTGGTCCCCAGTTCCTGGTCCCCAGTTCCTGGTCCCCAGTTCCTGGTCCCCAGTTCCTGGTCCCCAGTTCCTGGTCCCCAGTTCCTGGTCCCCAGTTCCTGGTCCCCAGTTCCTGGTCCCCAGTTCCTGGTCCCCAGTTCCTGGTCCCCAGTTCCTGGTCCCCAGTTCCTGGTCCCCAGTTCCTGGTCCCCAGTTCCTGGTCCCCAGTTCCTGGTCCCAGTTCCTGGTCCCCAGTTCCTGGTCCCCAGTTCCTGGTCCCCAGTTCCTGGTCCCCAGTTCCTGGTCCCCAGTTCCTGGTCCCCAGTTCCTGGTCCCCAGTTCCTGGTCCCCAGTTCCTGGTCCCCAGTTCCTGGTCCCCAGTTCCTGGTCCCCAGTTCCTGGTCCCCAGTTCCTGGTCCCCAGTTCTGGTCCCCAGTTCCTGGTCCCCAGTTCCTGGTCCCCAGTTCCTGGTCCCAGTTCCTGGTCCCAGTTCCTGGTCCCCAGTTCCTGGTCCCAGTTCCTGGTCCCCAGTTCCTGGTCCCCAGTTCCTGGTCCCCAGTTCCTGGTCCCCAGTTCCTGGTCCCCAGTTTCCTGGTCCCAGTTCCTGGTCCCCAGTTCCTGGTCCCCAGTTCCTGGTCCCCAGTTCCTGGTCCCCAGTTCCTGGTCCCCAGTTCCTGGTCCCCAGTTCCTGGTCCCCAGTTCCTGGTCCCCAGTTCCTGGTCCCCAGTTCCTGGTCCCCAGTTCCTGGTCCCCAGTTCCTGGTCCCCAGTTCCTGGTCCCCAGTTCCTGGTCCCCAGTTCCTGGTCCCCAGTTCCTGGTCCCCAGTTCTGGTCCCCAGTTCCTGGTCCCAGTTCCTGGTCCCCAGTTCCTGGTCCCCAGTTCCTGGTCCCAGTTCCTGGTCCCCAGTTCCTGGTCCCCAGTTCCTGGTCCCCAGTTCCTGGTCCCC